GCACTGATGCCCTGTCTCTGCTAGAGCTGGGCAAGCTGCAGTCCTGGGAGGCTTCACTACAGCCTGAGAACACATGTTGGAGGGGAAGTTACTCTGATGATGTGCTCCAAGGGTCCCAGCCACGTGAGGATCTCAAAGCATGTTGCCAAGGAAGGGTCACAGTGTAACTGTTCCATTTTAGAGATGGGGGAAACTGAGACATGGGGAGTGCCTGGGGTTAGAACCCCAGTGATTCTGCTTCTTTACTAAGAGGGATATGTAGCCCATCAAGAAGATGTCTTAATGGGCCAGCTGTTATAGGATCAGACTCCCTGGGGGTGTTTCCTATTGATTAATGTGATTTTAGTCTCTGCACAGGAGTATATACTTATTCCAGTTTATTTAAAACGTGCCGCTCCATGGCTCTCGGTGCATGTCCAAGCATATTTCCCAGCCCGAGCGGGATGTGTTGCAGCTCGTGATTCGAGCAGTGGCTCCCCAGAGCTGCGATAGCAGGGAGGGTGCAGGGCGGGATTGAGGGCCGGGGCAGAGCTGTGTAAGGGCTCAGTGCTGGCATAGCAAGGGCTGCAGGATGACAGTTACTCGGCTGATGGCCCCACTTCAGCAATGGGTTAGGGCTAAGATGGCAGGAGGTTTTGCTGGGGGTCCCTCTCTGTAGCCTTAGGCCCCTCTTGGATGGATTTGGGGCTCCTGCAGCAGACGTAGATGAAGCAGCCTCGACCTGGCAGGGAACCCCGGCTGCACACATCTCAGCACTTCATGGGCCAAGACTATAATGCAGGACAGGGATTTGGCCCCGAGCCCTTCCTTGGGCGTGGGTTGTTTAAGGGCCACAGCAGCTGGTGTCAGTGACTCTTCATCTCAGCATAGTCTTGTCTTGCACCCCTTGCTTGCGGTTGAGTGGGGGGGGGGAGGGTGCGTAGGAAATGAGCCCCACTTGGGGTTGCGTGCAAGATGTGCCCATGTCCATTCCCGGGAGGGTGTAGCAGGGCGAGGAGGGGAATACGCCCAGTCGCGGGTATGGATGAGGACATGCCTAGAGCTTTCAATGTGCCCACACCCATTTACGAGCAGGGTGGGGTCAGAGAGTGCCCATTCTAGTGGGGATGGGAGCTCTGCAGAGCAGAGAAGCTGACCACACCCATTTGCTGGGGAAGAGGGTGGGGCTGTGGGCATGCTATGAGTTCCCTCATGATTAGTCTGGAGATGCTCAGAAGGGTTCCATTTGGGTATGGGTGAATTCCCTCCCCCATGTCTCTGCAGGGACTCTGGGCTCTCAGAGGAATGAAGTGGGCCCAATCATGGGAAACTGCTGGGGCATAGATGGCTCGTGGTAGTTGTGCCTGACCTAAACTCAGCCAAGCCAAGGCCTTTTGTCTTTAGGAAACTGGATAACTTTAAATCTAGGATCAGTCTGATTACCTGTGGCTGGCTTGGGGAAAGGAGGCATCCGTGATCTAAATAGCCTGATCCTACATAAACCAGAACAAATCTGCTTTCCCAGCATATCGAGGTAGCTCCCAGCCTTTGGGTTGGGTTCCTAATACCCCCCAAAATCATGGAGATGATCATGGCAGCGGGCTGGTGACATGGAGGGGTCATTGGTTTGGGAATGGGCATCGCCACATGGGCCAGGCATTTTCTAGTTAAAGGGATCACAAGGGAACAGAGTGACCTGTCAGTGGGAAGTAGTGCCCACTGCATCTTTGGATCCGATTTTATCCCTCACAGCTCAATGCCTCCTGAGGCCACCAGCTTCTACCGTGTTTCCCCGAAAGTAAGACATCCCCCGAAAATAAGACCTACTTCCAGTTTTGCCTCTCGCTGTAATATAAGGCATCCCCCAAAAATAAGACCTCCCCGCTAATAAGGCCACCCCGGAATATAAGGCCCCGAAGCTCCAGGAAAAATAAGACCTCCCCTGAAAATAAGACCTAGCGCATCTTTGGGAGCAAAAATTAATATAAGACACTGTCTTATTTTCAGGGAAACAGGGTACTCTCCATATGGCTGGCCCTGGCTGTCTGCCAAGAGAAGCAGACAGAGGTGTGTTGTGTGGCCTTTCTATTGGAGACCTAGTTGCCCAGCTGGCAGAATAAGCAAGGAATGGAGTTCCAGCCCCCCGTCCCCCACTCTTCCCTACCAACCCCAACCTCTCATGTCAGCAGCTATGGGATTTATTTCTCCTTGTCACTAGAGATGGGCCCCCAACCAAATCCGCTGCTTCCAAAGACCCCAGGCTTCTCAGCTGGCCCTTCGCCGTCCGGCAGCCTGGCCCTGGATCGGGGTACCCAGGACCTAGGGCCGGTTTGGGTGCTGCTCCAGCCGTTGCCACTCGCACAGCTCCGGCCCCTTGCTGTGCCCTTTGTGGGCCCGGCATGGCCCTGGCCCAGCCCAGTGGTGCCTGGTTCCGCAGGAGGCGGCTGCCAGGGCTGCGCTGGCGTTCCAGGCCGGAGCCTCTGCGCCAGCCCTGGTGACGTGGGTGAATAGCGGTGCCGGGGGAACACAGGCTCCTCTCTATTCTGCCTTCCCCCACCCCAAGCCTCCTGCCCAGCTGGAGCTCCAGAGGGTTTTGTTTGTTCAGCTTGGGAGCTGGGAGGGTGGAGTCAGGGAGGCCTTTCGTTCCCCTGCCTCGCCCACCCCAGAGCCAGGGCAGGGCTCCGCTGGAGCCAGCCTGGGCTGGAGAAATAGCCCCGTCAGCAGCAGCAGCCAGGGCCCCCCAGCACAGTGTCTGGCTCCACACCTCTCAGCTGCTCTGCGTTAGGCCACGCTTGGTTTAACCCTTGCCTACCACCCCCATCTGCCTCTTTCAGCCCATCAGGAGGGGCAGAGGCTGCCTTTGGAACCAAGTCACTGAGCTGGCCTCAGGCCAGGGTGGCATGGCGGGGGTTAAAACTAGATAGCAGCAGGGGCGCTGGAGCCTGGGAGAGTGGGAGTGGAGCAGGGTGTGGGTGTAATGGGAAGGGGTTATGAGGGTATGTGCTTTGGGGAGAGGTCAGTGTATGCAGGTGCAGTGAGATTGTGTGGAATAGAGGTGCAGTGAGGTGCCAGGGGAATATCAGCGTGGGGGTAGGTGGGGGGGTGTCAGTGCAATGTGGGGTGGTGTAGGGAGGTTCAGTGGGGCATGGGGGGGTTCAACATGGTGCTGTTGTAGGGGGTGTGTCTGCAGCGGGGGTGTTGGGAGGTGCAATGGGGTGTCAGGGGTTCAGCGTGGTGCTGTGGTAGGGGGTGTGTCAGTGCAGTGAGGGGGTGTTTGTAGGGAGGTGCAGTGGGGTGTCAGGGGGGTTCAGCATGGTGCTGTTGTAGAGGGTGTGTCAGTGCAAAGAGGGCATTGCAAGTAGGTGGAATGGGGTGTCGAGGGTTCAGTGTGGTGGTGTAGGGGGGGTGTCAGTGCAGTGTGTGTGGGGGGTTGTAGTTAGGTGCAGTGGGGTGTCTCAGGAGCGTTCAGCCTAGGGAGGTGTGTAGGGCGGGGGGGAGAGGCATTGTCTTCCCTACAGCTTCCGAGCCTATATCTGTTTGGGGTGTGATCACCTCCAGATGTAGCTCGTGTCCACACACGTATTTACTGTCCTAGTTTCCACCCTGTATCCCCCTTGCCAGCTGCCTCAGCTTGGCGCATCCTTGGCTTCCAGCTTGGCCCACTGTCCATTTGTGCTGGGAACAGACTCCCCTAACGGTACCTGTGCCACCAGCTCGGCTCTTCCTCCCTCCCTGCTGTGTGCACTAGGCAGCCCAGGGGTGCTTTGCGGGCGCAGGGACAGAGCGGCCCAGACTTTCCCAGCATGCCCTGCTGCCAGCACGGCTCAGCCATGGGTGCCAGGCAGAAGCAACTCTCTCAAGCTGTGCGTGTCGCGGTCGGGTCAAAGGAGCGTTGCCAGCTGGCTGCTGAAACGCTGTTGTGCTCGTAGCACAGACAGGCCCGAAAATCCGGCTGATTTGGGTGGGCTGGGCAGTAGCCTTTGGTAGCCGACTCTCGGCTGGGAGGCAGGCTGCATGCCCAACGGGTTGGCATAAGCTGTCTGCTCCGCTGAGGCAGGCCAGCCCCAGCTGTTTGATTTTAAGACACTGCAGTCCTGCCTCTTAAGAAGCTTCCTTGGTGTAAGTCAATTAGAAATGGTGCTGGCTCAATGCTGTCTGCTATTGGGCCCTCTCCCCTGCCCCAGGCTTCAGGGAAGGGTGGACTAGGGGGAGTTCCCTCATCACCCCATCCCACAGGGAGCCCTGAAGGGTCCTGCCTTTTGGGGTCTTAGCCAGGGCGCGGTTAAAGGGGAAGGTTTGCATGTGTGAATCTCTCTCTTGCCCCGCTCTGGCTTGGTGTGCGTGGCCTGCACGTGGTTGGAAGGGAAGGTTGGGGGTGTCCCAGGGCCATCCCCCCCTTAGCACAAGCCCTGAGGGGAATCTCCTAGCCAGACGTGCATTGGACTGCCTTTCTGCTAGGAGGGGAGGCTGCAGACCTACAGGTTCCCCCCCTTCCCTGGGGGACAGTGTGCAGCAGATCTCTCTCTTTTAAGGGGAGACTTTGATTACTCCTCCTGTCAATCCCCTCCCCTGTCTGTCCCCTTGCGGGGAGCACACCATGACCTCCCCGTCCTTGCTGGATCTCGCGCACTCGCCGTTGCCATGGCGAGCATTGTGTCTAAATATTGCAACCAGTTGTCAGGCTGCCTTTCCCTGCCTGCCCCTTCCTGGCTTCCGAAGCGCCGGGTGCTCGCTGGCGGAACGACCCACTTTGCTGCGGCTCCTGCGTGGGTGCCAAGGGATGGAGGCTGGGGGAAGGAGTCGAACACTGCTCCGCGAGGCCTCCCCACCTGGGGACGGGCGAACTGACATGCTTTGGCGGCAGGGGAGGAGCCGACAGCCGCAGGCTTGGCTTGGCACTCAGCCCCTCCCTTCCCTCCCCTCTCTGCAGCCCGTCCCTTTTAAGGAGCTCCACCCAGGGTCAGGCCAGGGTGGAGCTGTCAGACTATTCACACCTCACAGCTCAGGACTGGCAGGCTAGACACGCCAGCAGCAGGCAGCTCTTTATTCAGAGAGAGACTCCTCTGTGGAGGAGCAGAGCTCTCTGACTGCTTCATGGGTGTGCGTCTCTGTGGAAGGCTGAAGGCGTGGGCCTGTGCAGACCCCAACGTGAACGTTTATCGATAATAAGGAGCCGCTATCGGCCACATCTCTCCCTTTTTTTTTTTTTTAAATTCCCCTTCCTCGTTCTTCCATTCACCGGAGAGGCGTGTGGGGCAGAGACTTGGCTGAGGATCTAGGGACCTCGACAGCGTGCCAAGTTGCCAGGCGTATAGGCCGGAGGAGGTGAGGGAGAACGGGGGACTCACCCTGACCGCCAGTCGGCAGAGCCCTGGGTTTTGCAGGAAGACCCTGACTGCACCCGCCCGGGCTGGTATCCCACCTCCTTTGCCTGCTCCCAGCCGCCAGGAACGGGAGCGTCGTGCAGACCTCGCGCGTGGTGAGGGGCAGCCGTCTAAAGCCCGGCTCAGGAGCATGATCCTCCCCGCAGACAGCATGAGCGCCGTGCAGTACCGGAGGAGCCCACCGCGCGCCGGCTGGGCGGTAAGTGGCTGGCTGGTTCTCTGGCAGGGGGCCATGATGCTCCCCTTGGGGCAGGCGACAATGCTGGGGAGGCATTTTCCACTCTTGTGCTCCAGGGCTGCATGGTGTAAGCGAGCTACTTCCTGGGGGATCAGGATATCTCCCCAAGCCCCCCATTTCATCCAAGCCCTCGCCGGGTACATCCCCGATCCTGCCCTTCTCCTTTTTAACAGCCTTTATCTCCCCACCATTCACACATCCACCAGTCCCAGGCATGGCCCCAGTTATCCCTCCCCCACTCTGCCATAGCAGCCCTGGAGAGGAGGGGGGCGCCCACTGGGCCTTAAAGCCATGGGATGGGGGTGGGGCAGCTTTGCCTTGCTCAGCCCTGGAGGGCTCTGAGTCTCAGTCTCCTTTGGACTCCGAGGGCGGGCGGGTGTGTGCAGAGAGGGGGATGGGTGTGCGCCTGTCTCCTCCCCCAAAGCCGGTGCATGGGAGGCCAAAGCAGAAAGACCTCCAGGGGGCTGCAAGGCCAGAGGCAGCAGGGTGCCCTGCCCCTTTAAGAGAGGGCTGGGACCTGGGGAACCTTTAAGGAGCAGATGGGAGAACAATTTGTGGCTTGTGCACTGCTCCTTTAAGGAGGGGAGGAGGAGGAAGGTGTGCCGCACCCACTCGCCTCCCCTGCTTTTTAAGAGCCTGATGCCCTCAGCCGACACTGGGTGGCAGCAGCAGGAGGGAGGCCTGGCAGGGAGAAGGGGTGTTTGGGCTGGATTCCAGGTTTCGTTATGGTCCAGGATATGTACACACCTCCCTCCGCAGGGGTCCCCCAGTGTGGATGGGAGGTTTGCACAGAGACCAAGGGGGACTCGCGGCCTCACATGGTTATTGTTGCATTGTGCATCACGCAGTGGGGGATCTGCTCCCCATCAGAGCGCTGCCACTGTGCCTTTGTCTCTTTCTTTCCCTCGCCCTCTCCTCTGTTTTCCCTTCTGCATTTCCTTCCCTGCAGCAGCTCCCAGTTCCCACCTCTGGAGGGCACCACTCCCCCCCCCCCCCCCCCCCCCGCATTTCCCGTTCCATCCGGCAGTGGAATAGCGAATATTGACGTAGAAGTGTTGTCATTCGGCCTTAAAGCTGACACCCCAGTGAGATTAGTAGGGGGCAGGGCTGTTCACCCCTTGGAGTTATTGTTTAAGGCTGTCTGCAGACTCAGGCAGACCTTGTGCCTTCTTTGTGCACTCGGGCCCCATTTTATCTCTGCAGCCAGGAGGGCTAGAAACATACTTTAAATGAACCCCACAATTCTGCACAGTCTGAACATGCGTCATGTGGGCCACACCAATACTGCACGAGGGCTGGATCTGGCCTGCGGGCTGCATGTTGGATACCCCTGGTGTAGAAAGAGTCAGGGACCTCCCTGCTGCTAAAGCCCTTGGGAAGGAGGGGATAAAAGAATGTTTCTTTCTCCTGAGTGATACCCCTAACTGCTCCCAAGAAGCCCTTCTCTGTGCTGCCCCCCAGCCGGACAGACCAGTCTGGGGAGCCCTGGGAAGGACCCTCCTGGGAGTATACACAAGCAATGCTGGGCTGTTATTTATGTCCTGTGTCTGTTCTCACTTGTGAGATCATTGAGGATGAGGATGGGGCTAATGGGAGGATCTGCGGTGCCCCTGTGGGACAGGCCATGTGTGAAGTCTCCCGACTTCAGATCTCCCCTTCCCACCAGAGCCCTTCTGGGCTCCGCGCTGAGTCCCCAGCTCCACCAGAAGCCATTCCCAGCTGCTTTGAGTCCCAAAGAAAGTGTGTCCTTGGCTATGGTTTGGTCAGGGATGGGATTGGGGCCTCTCTCCCCATGGTCATTAGAGTTTGTCCTATCCTGGTTAGGCGGGACGGAGATCCATCAGCAGCTGGTGGATCTCTGCTGAGCCCGGTGGGAAATGGGGCCAGGTGTTCCCAGCTGGCAGCAGTGGTGGAGCCCAGTGCTGTCTCTCTAGGTCAGAACTTCAGCCGGGACTGGTATATGGGAAGCCTGAGCTGTCCCTGTGCCGTGGAGACACGGAGGGCTTGAGGCTCCAGCGTTGTCACTGAAAGCCTGCCAGGCCTTTCCCATGCCCTCTCCCCCGTGGTATCGCCTGGCGATCGCCAGGTAAGCTGAGCCTGCTGTGGAGCCGAATGCTGGGTCTGTGCAAAGCTGTTTCCCAAGGCAGAATCCTGAGCCCTTTGTGTTTTATGAACTACTCCTAATGCTGAGTGTCATCCCATTGTGGCCTCCACAGCTTCTCCACCAGAACTCGACCAGCACCTGATTACATGGAAAGGCAATGTCAGGACAGTGCTAAGAGGACAGGATGAAAATAAACTTGCCTTAAAGCAGTGGGTGCAGCTGTTTGGATACATTTCCCCCCCCCCCCTTGTGTTTATCTCTTCTCTGGGGGCCAGGAGCTTTGCATTCATTAGTAACCAAATCTCCCCATGTTGCCTGAAAGCCCTGCTGCTCCAATCTCTCCAGGTTCCCATATGCACTTCCCCCTCCACTTTGGTGTCCTCTGCAAATCTGGTTACTGCTGAGTCAAGGAAAACCAGATGAAATCCATAGGGACCTCGGGGCTCTGAGTTCTGCTGATTCGGGACCCCCCAAGTGTCTTTGGCTGGGCTACTAACAACTAGCAGGAAGCTTCCTCTGTAGCTAACAGTGCTGCCCTTTAAATGATCATTCCTGGGCCATCAAAGTTCCAACACCATTGAGGGGAATGGGGCAGTTCACAGCTCTCAGAGCTATTGTCTCAGGCTCTCTGCAGACATAGGGCATGTCCACACTTAAACCACTGCGCGGCTGTAGACACTCCCATCAGGAGAGATGGCAGTAGCCTAGTGCTGTCTACACTGGGGTAACTATGGTGTGGATTTTACACATTCCTGATCGATGTAGTTATGCCGACCCAATTTTCTAGTGTAGACCAGGCCTGTGCTAACTCGACTCAAACCAGGTGTAAACTGATTGAAGTGTGCGCACATTAGGCGGATGCAGTGGTTAGGCTGCAATTGATTAATCAGTACAGCCTTTGCTGTCTAGACATGGCCTTACTTACTTTAGTGCAAACTGAAATTCTGGAGCATCAGATGAAAACTTGGCAGAGATACTGGGATGGTCAGTCTAACCCCAGAGTTACAAATCCCATCATACTAACCCTAACACGGGGGTTTATTCCAGCTTTGCTAACCACAGCTACATAGTGTCTCCCTACATTTCCCCAGCAGTTTCAACTGGATATGGGATTGTTGGGCAATTGCTAGGATCATCGGGGTAGATCTTACTTAACTCCCTGCCATTGCAGGGGCCTCGGCATTGGTGCACATTGGTCCCTCCTGTTTTCTGCCCATGGGCTGCAGTACTTCGGTTGAATTCTGGGTATTGGGCTTGATGTGATATACAGCGGGTCAGACTGGATGATCTGACACTCTCTGTTCCAGCACTTCCTGTCCTGAACTCTTGTTGAATGTTGCTGTTGAACAGTGGCCACGTTTCACTCCAGAGGTGGCTGCATTCTGTGTGTGGAATGGCCCTTGGGGATGAGCTCTAAAGAAATGTAAGCTTCTGTGGCTTTGAGCGTGATGCCTGAATCTCTGCTGGATGCCAGTGAGAGGGAATGTGGGGAATGAGGCTGTTGTTGCAGGCGGTGCGAATCCTACGTCTCATAGGGAGTTTTGGGGTATAGTATGTTAATGCAGCTCCTATGTTTTTTTTCCCCCCCTTGGTGCTGTTTGTGTGTGGGGGTGGGGGGAGGAGAAAGGTGCTGCTGAAGCAGACTGGAGAGGCAATTCCATTCCATGGGCCTCATCTCTTGCTTTAGGAAGGAGTCAGGGCTTTGAAGTGCATGGGTGTGGGACAGTAGGTTTGGCTCTGTGTCAGGTCTGGTGTGCTCTTCTCTGCTGTGCATGGATCCGCCTCCTGCGTCCCCAAGGAAATAGCGAGAATGAGCTAGGAAACTCTCATCTCGGCTGAGCTCGGATACCCCAGCAATGAGCATGTTATAAATTAGGGTTACCATATTTCAACACTGAAAAAAGAGGACACTACATGGGGGCCCCGGCCCCGCCCCAACTCCGCCCCTTCCCCTGACCCCATTCCAACCCCTTCCCCAAAGTCCCCGCCCCAACTCCGCCCCCTCCCCTGAGCACCCCGCATTCCCCCTCCACCCTCCCGCCCCCCGGGCTCCGGCTGCTGCTGCGCTGGGGAAGTTGCTTCGGCCCCTGCCGTGGTGGAGAGCGGCGGGAGCTGGGAAAGTTGGAGCCCGGGGAGGAGGCGGCTGCGCTCTCGGATGCTGCCCACCGCCTCTGAGCCCTGGCAGATCGGGGGAGTTGTTAGTTTTGCTGCAGCCACTCGCACTCGGGGTCCCCCGAGCGTCTTTTGCCTGAGCGCTACCAGCTTCATGGCTTCCCCAGCGCAGCAGCAGCCGGAGCCCGGGGAGGCGGCGGCTGCGTGCTCGGATGCCGCCCGCCCCCTCTGTGCCCCAGCAGATCGCCGGAGTTGTAAGTTTTGCTGCAGCCACTCGCACTCGGGGTCCCCTTACCATGCCTCCTTATTTTCCCGGATATGTTCGGCTTTTTGGAAATTCCTCCCGGACGGGGATTTGAGGACCAATAAGCCGGACATGTCCGGGAAAATCCAGACGTATGGTAACCCTATATAAATACACTGCTAGGATTCTGCAGACTGGATTTCAAGCCCCGCATTGATGCTCAGGACCTGTGGTGTGTTTGTGCCGGGCCTGTGGAATGCTTTGGTGGAAATTGCTGGCCTCCAGTGCTGTTAGCCTCCAGTATAAAGGGCTTTGCTGCATCTTGGCTTGTAGTTTCCTGACATCTCCATGTCTGCTGATCCCTGGGATCTGAGAGTGCTCGCGATGTTTCCTGCTTTGGAGCCACTTCTGAATGCAACCCTTCGCTTGGTTCCCATGACCTTTGACCCTTGGTGCTGGGAGCCTGGGATCTCCCTCCTGTGAGGCCTCCTTGCCCTTCTT